AACAACGTTGTTGATAACATGCGAATAACTTAGCCTAGTTATTCGCTCTGCGATTATCTTGAGCGCTTATATAAGCGCCTTGCAGCAGATGCGAGATCGTCGAGGGCGATTATAAGTAGATATTCCCTACCCCTGACAGACCTGGCAATGCTGCCGCTGTCAGGATCCCTTCTCGTGAAGATCTGTCGGCTCGCCTCACTCAAGTACGAACTCACTTGGAGGCTCTTCCCACCTCCGCCAGATAATGTCTATGATTTCGGCGCACTCACTCTCCCGGTCTGAAAGACCAGTCATGTCCCCTGAGTCTGCTTCTCATCCCAAGGGAAAGGGGAACGGAGTTGCGGCGCACAAAGGAGGTGCGACGAGAGTACTCCAGGAGGTCAACTGGATGATGGGCAGGAGACGATTTGCCTGTGTTATGGAATAAGCGCCTATGCTAACAACTGCTATCAACTCTGCGAATAACTTCGACACTCCCCGTCCTAGTCGGTTGATAACGCTGCGAAGATCTCGTCTGGAGTTCTTTGCCCAACATTAAAGAAGATCGGCTGAATCGAGCTGTTCGGTACACGTGATAACCGTGAGATTTATCTATGCATGCGGCCCGTTATGCTAACGCACCGAGCGCCGATGCCCTTGGCCAGCGACTCCGGGACCCAGTACTTCTCATGACCAACCGCCTCCAGCCATTTGTCTAGCCATGCTACTTCATTTGCCTCTTCCAGGTCACTAAGTAACGTGTGCGAATTCAAACGGCGATTCAGAATGTGATACCCCGAGCACGAGTCGACGTATGACTTCCTCAAGATGCGGCACCGGGTGAGTAGTATGGTCCTCAAGTGCATGCTCTTGATAACATCTGTCCTCAATCGCGTTCTCTGCATGCACAGTAGAGCCCAGAGCAAGCTCGCCTTGCCCCGTCAGCATCGAGACGCTCGTGTTATGTGACTCAACCTACCGCAGCACTAGCGCCGCAAGCGCGGCGTCCCCCCGCATAAATGGCAAGCCCCTCGAACCATCGCTCGACACCTACCGCTTTCTTCCTAGCACCCACCTGAAGCAGTCTGCTTCTTTCACCACTACTACTTCTTTGTGATCCTCACCAATCCAAATCTTATCGACGATGAGCCAACAACCCAGCGGTTCTACCAGAGGAGGTCGAGGTCGGGGCCGAGCCTGGCAAGGGCAAGCTCCTGGAAGGGGCGTCCGCGGCTCCACGCCGTCGACGCGGGGCAGTCCCGCCCCTTCTGGCGGCGGAACGGACTCCGGGAGATTCAGCGGCACGACTGGCGGCGGACGTCCTCCTAGCGGAGGCGGGTCCGTCCCCAGCCACGGAGGCCAGTCTGGCACAAGCGGCGGAGGCAGTAGCAGAGGAAGAGGAGGCTTCCGTGGCGGCTCCCCCGCAGGGGGCCCTGCGGCAGTCTTCGCGGAGGGCAGACCCCTCACTCAGGATCCGCGTCTCGCAGATTCGGAGCTCAACGGGCTCGTGCAGTCGTTCAAGAGCGTTAAGCTCCAGCCGGACATGCCCCTCCGCCCCGGCTGGGGCACGCTCGGTGAGCCTGGCGTCGTGCGCACGAACTTCTTCGCTGTGAGGTTGAAGAAGGACGCGGTGTACTACGAGTACGAGATCGCCATCTCCCCGAAGGCGCAGGCGAAGGGCAACATGAGGTTCCGCATAATGCAGCTTGTCGAGCAGGCAGATGCGTTCCGGCCTTATATCGCCCATGTCGCCCACGACCGCAGTCAGCGTCTCGTGTCTGTGAGTAAGCTACCGCAGCCCCTGGAGATCCCCATTCGGTATCTTGAGGAAGATAAGGCTGACGATCCCAAAGCACCCACGTTTACGGTGGAGATTAAGTTCCTGTCAGAGTTGAGAATGTCCAAACTTGACAAGTACGTCCTGCGTTCGGGTTCAATACATAAACGCTGATATGGTTGTAGACATATCAGCGGGAAGCCTGAGCATCGGAATGCGGACACGCAGCCGCTGGTCTCGGCGCTGAACTTGATTCTACAGCAGTACGCGCAGAGGCACGGTGTCCGTGTGGGGAGGAACAAGTATTTCTTCCCTGCTTCCTCCGAGCACCATCCCCTGTCCCTGGGCGTTGAAGCCTTCCGTGGCTTCTTCATGTCTGTGAGGCCCATGTATAAGCAGTTGATGGTCAACATCAACCTCTGCATGACGGCGTTCTACGTTCCCGGCAACCTCGCGTGGGTAATGATCGACTTTCAGAGGCAGACGCATGGCGGTATGCCTGATGAGTTTGCGGAGAAGTTGAAGGTGTCCACTAGGCATCTTGGCTACACCCGCCTATACACGATCCGCCGCATTGTGACGGAGAAATCGGCACGTCAGGCGAAATTCTACTGTGAGGAGTTCCGCGGGGAGATCACTGTGGAGAAATTCTTCAAGCGCAGTGCGTATAGCATGCTTCCGTACCCTGCCAGTGCGAGACGGCTGATTCTGATGCTGTTCATGATCATAGAGCACAACATCGACTTGCGCCACCACTCGGACCTCCCCGTAATTGACGTCAGCAACCCGCGCTCCGACAAGCCCACGTATCTCCCGGTCGAGATCTGCGAGATCATCCCAGGCCAAGCCTACCACGGCAAGCTGGACCCGAAGCAGACCGCCGCCATGATTAAGGTCGCGTGTAACCCGCCCGCTTTCAACGGCGATGTAATTGTCAACCAGGGCTTCACCGATCTCGGTCTGCGACCCAACGCCCCGGGAGCAACGCTCGCGGCGTTTGGCATCAGCGTTGACCATGAAATGCAAGTCGTACCCTACCGTCGTCTACCTCCGCCAAGTATCTCCTACCGCTCAGGGAAAGGTCCCCAGGTCAGGGACGCCGGGTGGAACATCCTCGACGTCAAGCTCCACGTCGGCGGGGACATGACGAACTGGGCCGTCCTCCTCGTTCAGGAGGGTCGCGACGACGAGTTCGGGGGGTCCGCCGACCCCGCGCTCACCGCCTTCCTCGACGCGTTCCGCGCCAAGTGCCGCAACATCGGTATCTCCGGCGCCGACAAGCGTCCCAAGATCATGTCGGTTAGCCTCCCTCTTCCTTCGCGCGATACTCGTAACCGCTCGCAGGCTATCCGCGCGATCCGCGATGTTCTGGAGCAGAACTTGGACCTCCGCCAGCGCAGCACGAAACCGAGCTTCGTCCTCGTCCTCCTCTCGGGCGTGGACAAGTACATCTACCCCGGAATCAAGCAGCTGGCGGACGTCGAGCTGGGCATCCACACGGTGCACATGCTGCTCAACAAAGCCCGCGACCAGCGCCCGAACAAGCAGGACCAGTACTTCTCGAACGTCGTGCTGAAAGTGAACACGAAGCTCGGCGGAGTCAATCACCAACTCGACGAGAACTCGATGCGGTGGCTGAAGGCTCCCGGTGGTAGGGCCACTAAGACGATGGTTATGGGCATCGACGTGACGCACCCCAGTCCGCTGAGCCTGCCGGGGACTCCGAGCATTGTCGCGGTCGTCGCAAGTATTGACGACCGCTTTGCGCAGTTTCCGGCGAGCTTGGCGTTGCAGAAGCCGGACTGGAATAAGGACAGCAAGGAGGTGCGTTAGGCTGTACGCTGTTCAGTCAGGGAGCTCGCTGCTAATCACCATTCATAGATGGTCGAAAGCCTGACACAGTTGACCATAGAGCGCCTCCAACTCTACAAGAAGAGGAACGCTGGGAAATCGCCTGAAAGGATTCTCGTTTTCCGTGATGGCGTGTCTGAGGTAAGTTGACGGTGACTTATGCGTATCTCCACATCCGCTTATCTTGTCCTGCACCTTCCTCTAGGGCCAGTACGAGCAGGTCCTCAGACACGAACTCCCCAGGCTGCAAGCGGCGTTCACGCAGATATCTCCTACCGTGCCTTACAAGCCGAAATTGAGCATCATTGTCTGCGGTAAACGTCACCACGCCCGGTTCTGGCCCCCTGACTCCGCACACGCGACGAAGAATGGCAACACGCGCCCTGGGACCGTCGTCGACAAGGGGATCACCGACATCTACGACTTCGACTTTTATCTCCAGGTACGCATCGCAACAAATTCGGGTTTTGAATTGTACTGACTCCGAAGTGTGACGCATAGGCCCACAACGGCTTGCAGGGCCATGTGAAGGCCACGCATTACGTCGTTGTCTACGACGAGAACAAGCTTGACGCGGACACGATCCAGCAGGGCACGCACACCGTGAGCTACCTCTATGCGCGCGCGACGAAGGCCGTCAGCCTCGTCCCCGCGGCGTACTACGCCGACATCGCGTGCGAGCGGGGACGCGAGTACCTCAACGTCCTCATGAACGTCAACGAGCCTAGGTCGTCTGCCTCAGGACCGCGGTCGGCGGTGGACAGGCAGGCGCAGAAGGAGGCGATGTTCGAGCATGCGAAGCAGATGTGGGGAGCCGGAGTGCATGCGGACCTAAAGGACACCATGTTCTGTTCTGCGACGGTTGCCCCACGGACGCCGAGACAACGCCGTACCACGGACAATGCCTGTTTGGCACTGCTGGACCTGGAATAATGCATCTATATCACTTACGTCAGAGCCGCGGACGACCATACCAGGTTACATCCTGCAAATGACGGTGTAAAGAGTTTAAAGATAGTCAGTAACAGCAGCCTGCAGGCGCATCTCATGTTTCCTAGAGGATACCGAGATGCGCACGTAAACAATTTCTCATATTGGAGACCTACCTAGGCCGCTAAGTTGCAGCATAACGTTCCCAGATTCGAGCTTGGATGAAAGTCTTCAGAATTATAAGTCGGGTGTGCATGATTACAGTAACATACAAGGCCGTCTATGATATTGTTTGACCAGAGCGAAAATGCGTAGTGCTATGCAAAGGGTGACACCATCGACCTTACTCAAGGCTTCCCCTCGATGGAGCAGCGTTGTTACGGGTCAAGTCAACGGTCATGACTTTTAGACGACGGATGACCGGTCACTGTGTGACCCGGTCATGACCGCCGGTCAAAAGTTAGCACGTGAGATCTCCGGCATGTCCGAGTGTGCGTCTGACGGCAGGCCATGGCTCTCGGATAGGCCAAACGCATCGTGGCCGCGAGGAGGTACAATAAGGGCTGATGAGACTATTGCATACTCATCCCTGTCCTTGAATTTAAATGACCTACTACCCCATAATACGCCATATCTGAGCTGCGAACCGACAAAGAGCTTGCCGACGGATAGATCAAAAATCAACTCATAGGGAACGGAACTCGACTTGGATATGAAGGCCGACGAGAGAACTAGCTGTA